TGTCATCAATAAGTTTGACAACCCCTGTTCAAAGAATCCCCAGAAGAAACATCTGAGACAGTCACCTCACCCTCAAGTCGTTCCAAACCTGTATGAGTTTCTTTGTTCTGTCTAGGGCTTGCATAGACTAGTCGAGTAGTCGAGTGATCGACTACTTTAACCACTAGTCGGCGCTGTCGGAAACAATCGACTACTCAAGCATGCATTAACCATAATACATGCACAGCGTTTACAAGTACGACGTGAATTGTGTGATTACAATATTGCGTGTAGCTGTTACTTTCTATGACTTTATCTATGTTGCATGTAAAATTCAAATATGTAATGTAATAATTAGGGGTGTGCCCGAAGCCGAATACCTTGTTCGGAAAGGCACGGATAATGGCTTCAAAAACGAATAACGGACCAGGAGTAATTCTGCTCGAATATTCGGCTGAGGCTGGCACAGTCTGGTGTTTGCTAGATAACAGGTGAGCCAGGGGATCAGTGCGATATTATACACAGACCTCTAAAGTCACGCAATAAAGTGTGAAGTGAATGAATGTAAACTTTATGAATGAAAAGAGCGCAAATAAAACACCGCATTGCTGTTGCCTCTCCTTGCATCTCTCAGAAATCAGAGCTTGGCAAGAGTAATATCACCTATAAACATCATACACGTTCTATTATTTGTATATATTTAAAAGGCAATGGTTTAAACCTTAGGCTACGATATGATACGAATGAATGGAATAAGCACAGGGTGCTCACCAATCAAACAGCCGCGTTGCGCGTCTCAGTCGCTCAAAAACCAAACCAGCTCTCTCTCTCTCTCTCTCTCAAGAGTAGGCTAATAATCAACTTCGATACAGATACATTTTCTACTAGGCCTACATGTTTGCATCTTTATCTTTTGCTGATTTGCGTGGCACACGCACATTTGTTTAGTGAAGTAAAAAAAAAAAGACTCGCTTAAAGAGTTCTGTGTAATGAAAATGTGCGCATTGTATTAATTCAGTCGTGTTCAAATAATCACTAAACGTTTGTCATGACATCTCTCTGCTTGCATGATAAATATATTTTTAGACAATTAATAATTATTTTTGTTTAACACTGCATACTTGTTCAGTGATAACTATGAAAAAAAGATAGTCATAAAGGTCTCATCAAGTAACTGTACGACGTTCCACCTGGTTTTATCCAAATGCAGATACGAATAATTTTGTGGTTGTTACAGATAAAAATACAGATACAAATACTGGCTGTTACTAGGGCTGGTCCGAATACCATTTTTTGAGCTTCGAAGCTTCGGTAGTAATCAACACCGAATATTCGAAGCTTCGGAGGGAGGGGGCTGAACATATTCTTCTCTCTAATAAAGGCAAGAATCTCTGTGTGTCTGTCTGTCTGTCTGTCTGCATTTTTATTATGTCAAGAACCGTTCATCCAATCGACTTCAGGCGTGGCGGGTGTGTTGCTGCGGACGGACCCAAGGGAGTGCAGTGTCGCATTTTGGTGCAATATGGACACGTGACACATTCAGAATTAATAAACTTTTAATAAACTACAGAATAGCGAGAGCCGGAAGCCGCGCGCCTCACGCGGGTAGGGCTTATGCTTCGAGAACAGACACTGCACTAGTGATAAAAAACACAGGTCTGTTAAGGAGCAATTATTTTTAATATAGACAAATTATTATTAGGCTGGACTACTGTACGTTTTTTTGACTGCCATATTAGCAAGTATTTTCCAAGCAAATTAAGTGCACGTTTTTATCATGTGTAAAAATACTGATTAACATGGCGGATAAAAGCAGCTCGTTTTTTTTTTTTACACCAACAATATACTATCGGCGTACTTGCAGAACTCAGGTGATTTTTCAAACTTGATGTGCTGTTGTGGTAGGCCAGTTTCAAATCGCACATTTGGCACATTAGAGCACTGCATTTCAGCCCGGGCCCAACGGGCCCCGACTTTTTTACGCCCCTCGGGCCGGGCTTCGGGCCAATTTTCAC